CTGGGGGAGAGAGGGAGAAGGTGAGTGATCCCGTGGAGAAAGGAGAGAGGAAGGGAAGAAGGAGAGAAGGAAGGAAGAAGAGAGGGAGGTGAGTGATCCTATTGAGAAAGGGGAGAGGAAGGGAAGAGGGAGAGAGGGAAAGATGAAGAGAAGGAGAAGGTGAGTGATCCCGTGGAGAAAGGAGAGAGGAAGGGAAGAGGGAGAGAGAGAAAGATGAAGAGAGGGAGAAGGTGATCCCGTGGAGAAAGGAGAGAGGAAGGGAAGAGGGAGAGAAAGAAAGATGAAGAGAGGGAGAAGGTGATCCCGTGGAGAAAGGGGAGAGGAAGGGAAGAGGGAGAGAGGGAAAGATGAAGAGAGGGAGAAGGTGATCCTGTGGAGAAAGGAGAGAGGAAGGGAAGAGGGAGAGAGAGAAAGATGAAGAGAGGGAGAAGGTGATCCTGTGGAGAAAGGGGAGAGGAAGAGAAGAAGGGGAGAAGGTGATCCCGTGGAGAAAGGAGAGAGGAAGGGAAGAGGGGGAGAAGGAAGGATGGAGAGAGGGAGAAGGTGAGTGATCCCGTGGAGAAAGGGGAGAGGAAGGGAAGAGGGAGAGAAGGAAGGATGGAGAGAGGGCGAATGAGAGAGTAGAGAGAGAAGATGAGAGAGAGAATGAGAGAGAGAGATGAGAGAGAGAGAATGAGAGAGAGAGAATGAGAGAGAGAGAGGAGAGAGAGAGAGAGAGAGAGAGAGAGAGAGAGTAGAGAGAGAGAGAGAGAGAGAGAGAGAGAGAGAGAGAGAGAGAGAGAGAGAGAGAGAGAGAGAGAGAGAGAGAGAGAGAGAGAGAGAGAGAGAGAGGGAGGACAAGGGAGAAAGGGAGATCGAGAGAAGGGATTCGATGAATAAGAGATGAGTAAATCGGCGGAAAGGACTGCGGTGATTGCCCTGAAAGGCCGAGCGGGAGGGAGAGAGGAGAAGGTAGAAGAGCGAAGAGGGAAGAGAGAAACGGGAAGAGAGATGAACGAAGAGAGAAGAGAAAACAGGGGAGGGAGAAGAGGTGAGAGAGAAGAGGGAAGAGAGAAAAGGGGAGAGATAAAAAAGAAGACAGAACAGAGAAGAGAATAGAAAAGAAATAGACAGGAAAAAAAGAGAAAACAAGAAAAAAGAAGAGAAATACAAAAGAACACAGAGGACGAAAAAAGGAAAAAGATAAAAAAAAAAAACACACACACACAAAAAGAGAGAGAATATAAAAGAAAAAGACAGAAGATAGAAGAGAAAAGAGAAAAAATACAAGGAAATATTTCCAGCGAGATGGCCAGCATCGGACAGCGCAGTTCATTACACAGGAAAATCGCAGAAAATATATCCAGAAAATATACATTTTCTCTCCATCTACATTCATATCACAATGTATTTCTATTTCTCCTTCCTTCCATTTCTATCTTTTCTTCCAGGTTGCAAAGACCACTTTACTTGAACAGTGAAACGAAAAAAGAAAAAAAAGAAAAGAAAAAAAAGGGGGGGAAAATCTGTCTCTCCAGATTTTTGCAATCGCACAGGAAACAGAAACAAAATGGAAAAAGAGAAATAGGAAAGGAAACGTAAAATGCGCTATAAAATATAAAAACTCAAAAAAAAAAAAAAAAAAAAAATATAGGAATAGAAAAATACGAAAATAATATAAAGTCGAATACTTGAGTACATCATCTGCAACATTTATTTTGAACATGTTTTGAACACTTAGAAAATGCCTTTTGCACCTTTTATATCAAGGCGAATAGGACGTTGATTTCCCTGTATTTACTAAGATAAATAAAAGTATTAAATAAGAAAATATTAGTAGTTAGGAGACGGTATCAACGAATTTTCCCGTATGTTCGTGTATGCTTATGGTTGTGTGCGTTTGTGTTTGCTTGCGTATACATTCATGTGTGTATTTGCGGTTGTCTGTTTGGCTGCCTTTCAGTGCGGAGTCCCAGACAAGTGTATTTCACTGTCATCAAAAGATTCACGCAAATTGCCTTACGCTTTGACCCGCCATTGAACGGTTCACGGAAGCTTGGTTTTATTCAAGAGGCTCAAATACTTTAATATTTTTTCCCCTCGCTTCGAACTATCTCAAGTCGGGGCAAGTAATGGAAGAAAGAAGGAGGAGGAGGAAGAGGAGGAGGAGGAGGAGGAGGAAGACAAAAGAAAATCTGTTGGATGCTTAGGTATAGACTATGCATAAAACTGAAAGTGTAAAATATGAAATGGATTTTTTTTCTGGTGAGGGCGCAAGTGTAACGTTATCATTCATATTAGCGATGTTATTTTAGTATTTATCTTATCATTCTATTCAGCTTCATTTTTACATCGTTTGTTGCATTAATGTTGATTTTTCATTAGCCTCAGTTGTCCCTGTTATCATTATTGTTATTATTGATATAAAAGATGATATTTTCATCATAGCTAATTTGTCATTATGGTCGTAAATCTCATTAGATACTGAAATTTCTCGTTCCATTGTTTTTTGCATTATTTGTTCCTTATGTCATCACTTGTACAAGTATTTTCCATTAAAAGAACTGCCAACGGCTTTATTAATAGCACGATATTTTTTCCATTTTTTTCTATCATTATGATCAGTAGCTTTACCATTATCACCATTATAGTATTTATCATCATCATAATCGTCATTGTCACAATGTTTTCAATATCATTATCTCTATTATTATCAACATTACTATCATGACCTCAAGTATCGTTATCCTTACTAAAGTTACTGCAATAATCATTACTGCTTAAATACCATTAACCCTTTCCTCTATCTTCGTTGACGCTAGCATTAAAAACAAATCGTTATTATCATCAACATTATCATAATTATCGATATCATTAATATTGTTACCAAAATTATCACAATCATTATTGTCATCATTACAATTATTGATGTCATTATCATTGTTACTACAATTTTCACTTTCATCATTATCAGTATTGTAAAGCTCGATATCATTATTATTGTTACTATAATTATCACTATCACCCCTACCGTTATCGCAATTATCGTTATCGTTATTAATCTTATAATTATAGCTACCGTTCTCATCATGACCAATTTTAATAACGTCCCCTTGAGGTCCCTGTACACGTGAAAAACTCCCCCTCCAACATGTGAGACAGAAAAGGAATCCAATCCGTGTGAGTCTCCCGGATGCAAAAGGAGGGAAAATGGCGTCGATCCAAAAGCAACGAAAGAGCGAGAGAGAAAGTGAGTAAGAGACAGAGAGAGAGAGAGAGAGAGAGAGAGAGAGAGAGAGAGAGAGAGAGAGAGAGAGAGAGAGGAGAGAGAGAGAGAGAGAGAGAGAAAGAGAGGGGGGGAGGGGGAGAGAGAGGGGAGAGAGAGAGAGAGAGAGAGAGAGAGAGAGAGAGAGAGAGAGAGAGAGAGAGAGAGAGAGAGGGGAGGGGGAGAGAGAGGGGGAGAGAGAGAGAGAGAGAGAGAGAGAGAGAGAGAGAGAGAGGAGAAAGAGAGAGAGAGAGAGAGAGAGAGAGAGAGAGAGAGAGAGAGAGAGAGAGAGAGAGAATGAGAGAGAGAGAGTCAGACATAAATAGACTTACGCAAACACAAAGATCGAAAGAGTTGGGAGGGGGAGGGAGGCAAAGAGGAAAAAAAAGTGAGAGAGAAATACAGACAGACAAACAGATATATAAATAGATATATATAGAGAGAGCGAGGGGCTTGTGGACAGTGACCCAGGGAGGCCAAGAGAGCATTACTGAGTTACGCGACACTTTGCGATCAAAGGAAGGGTGATGGAGAGGCTGAGGGAGCTGGGGGGGGGGATGATGGAGGACGGGGGGGGGGGGGTGTGAAGTGATGGGGAGGGGATGGGGAAAGAGTGGCGTTGATTTGGGGGTAGGAAGGGGATGGGGGTCGTTGCTACAAGGGAGGGAAGGGAGAACAGGTGGGGGAGAGGGGGAAGGAGGGGAGAATATAGGCAGTGAGAGTGGGGGAGAGAGAGAGAGAGAGAGAGAGAGAAGAGAGAAGAGAGAGAGAGAGAGAGAGAGAGAGAGAGAAGAGAGAAGAAGAGAGAGAGAGAGAGAGAGAGAGAGAGAAAGAGAAGAGACAGAGAGAGAGAGAGAGAGAGAGAGAGAGAGAGAGAGAGAGAGAGAGAGAGAGAGAGAGAGAGAGAGAGAGAGAGAAGAAAGAAAGAAAGAAAGAAAAGAAAGGAAAAAAAGAAAGAAAGAAAGAAAGAAGGAAAGACAGAAAGGAAGAAAGATAGAGAGACAAAGAGGGGGAGATGGAACCAGAGTAGAAGCTACTCCTGTAACTCGAAAGGGACAAACTCTCACGAAACTTTAAAAGGAGAAAGAAATTGAATGTCCGCCGATAAATGTTGACTGACTGAAAGGTTTATCTCCTCACTGGCAACGAAGAGACCAAGTCGTGACGATTAGAGGGACATTTAATTACCAAAATTTAAAAGGACTCTTTCATATATAGAAAACATGATCGAAATATCGTCAAATCTTAGTACAGTAGTAGTAGTAGTATTTGTAATTATTATGATGTTGATGATGATAATAGTGATAAAATATAACAATAATGATAATAATAATAATAATAATAATAATAATAATAACAATAACAGCGACAATGATAATGAAATTATAACAATAATGATGATAATAATACTAATGATAATAATAATAATAATAATAATAATAATAATAATAATAATAGTAATGATAATAATAATGATAATAATGATAATAATAATAATATAATAATAACAATAGTAGGAATAATACTAGTAATGATGATGACAAAAATTAGTGACAATACTAATAATACTAATAATAATGATCATAACGATTATAATGATAATAACAATAACAATGATAATAGTAATGATAATAATAATAATAATGTTAATGATGATAATAATAATAATAACAATAATAATAATAATAATAATAATCATAATAATAATAATAATAATAATAATAATAATAATAATAAAATAATAACAATGATAATA